CCACTTTTTTCGAAAAAGATAAAGAAAAAACAAAGAATGATGAATAAAATGACTGCTTCCCCATTCCAAACCCTCAGTCGATATAGCAGCACTCCACTGCGAGTCAGGCTATTTGTCAGTCGATGTATGTACTGAAGCCCCCAGCAGCAGGCTATTTCAGTATGACGTCAGATTGCTTACCTTAGTACGCAATACTATTTGTGTGTGTGTGTGTATATATATATATATATATATATATATATATATATATATATATATATATATATATATATATATATATATATATATATATATATGTGTGTATATATATGTATATATATGTATATATATATGGGCAATTCCACAGTGGAAAATAAAAAGTATTAAAATTTTATCTTTTGTCAGCTTTTAGCTAATAAATGATGTAGACACATGAAAGTTTCTTTAAAATATACCTTTAGTACTAAAATTAATTCATTTAAGTCATTTTTATGCTTCCGAAAGTTATGGTTTTACTCATAGTCACATAAAAAAAGTATCACTTATTTTAACCATAAATTTATTTGCATAATCCGAATTAATTTAGTGTGAAAATGCAGGCCTTGTGATGAATAAAAACTGCGTGACGCATAAGCACAATGTGATTTTTGACGTCATTAAATTCTTTTTATTTGTTTTCATATTTATCGACATTAATTGCACTAATTTACTTAATTACCGCAAAACTACTTTAAATCATTAATGTAGAAATGTTATTATTTAAAAATATTTTGGAATGTTTTGTTTTTTAAAATGTAAAAACATTTGTTTATTTTCTTGACGTTTGACACGTTTTATCTATACTAAACAAATAAAAAACATAACATTTCAAAAAGATTATAAAATATGCTAATATTTGATTTTTTTTTCTAAAATATGTAATTTAAAGTTTTTCAAATAGTTATTTTTTCTTTTTAAAAAGTCAGCGAGTAATAAACTGGAAATTTTAATATTGTACGATTAACCGACGCTTTATCGCAAGGCCTGAAAATGGAGTTAATATGTTCAATTTGTTCTTGGTCAGATTTTACACATTATATATATATATATATATATATATATATATATATATATATATATATATATATATATATATATATATATATATATATATATATACATACATATATATATATATATATATATATATATATATATATATATATATATATATATATATATATATATATATATATATACTCTCGCGAGGATATATGCAAGCACTAATACGTATACATTTATATAAAACGCTCCTGACAAAAAGTTGGTTGAGCACTTTTTTGCATCGATCTCACACAATGAAAAAAATAAATTTTAACTACTCATTGAAAAATATTCCTGTACCAGAGAAAACTAGTTATAAGTTACACCTAGTCGAAAAGATAGAAAACTTTATCAAACGAATGCGCTGGAAAACATTTTTTTACAACAACAAAAATAACAATGCGACAGAAACAGCTAAAACCTTCGGATTTAAAACAAACAAAACACCACCACAATGCAAAGAACTTGAGCACTTTGAAGCCGAATTATTTGCTTTAGTAAAATCAATAAAATTTAAAAAAGCTTCCACCGAATTCCAAAAAAAACTAAAGAATGACATATCGAACAAAAAATCAAATCCCAATATCTTGATATTTGCAGACAAAACTAGCAATATTTATGAACTACCTCCCAAAGACCACGCCAAACTTCTGAAAGAAAATATCACTAAATCATACAAAAAAGCACCATTAAAACTTGAAAACGCAATAAACCTTGAAGCAAAAAGCATAGCAAAAACAATAAATATATCTAACAAATCTAAAAAAATCGCCAAATTAGAAGCGTTCATCACTCTGAACAACCATAAAATCAATTTTCAAAACATAAAACCCTGCCGCCTAATAAATCCAGCAAAGAGCGAACTTGGCATTGTAAGCAAAACCTATTTAGATAAGATTAATAAACACATAAAAAGTCCATTAAAATTAAACCAGTAAAAAAATACTGCAGAAGTCATCATATGGTTCAAAAGCATAAAAGAAAAGAAACACTGCACTTTTATCCAACTCGACATCACTGAATTTTACCCATCCATCACACCCACAATTCTAAAAAATGCTCTAACGTTTGCAAAACAACTTATAAAAATTTAGTCTAAAAAATGCTCTAACGTTTGCAAAACAACTTATAAAAAAAATAGTCTTTGTTATTTTTCAACAACGAAACTTGGAAAAAAAAGTCAACTAACGACTGCTTCGACGTCACAATGGGTTGTTACGATGGAGCAGAGGTTTGCGAGCTGGTTGGTCTGTATATATTATATTCATTATCTGAAACTGTTACCAGCAGCGATATGGGCCTTTACCGGGACAACGGACTGATAATAATGCGTCAAAAATCTGCCGCACAGATAGATAGAATCCGAAAAAATATTATAAAAATTTTTAAAAAAATTGGCTTCCAAATAGAAATTACGACAAACCTAACAATCGCTAACTTCTTAGACGTTACATTTAACCTTGAAAAAGACTCATATCAACCTTTCAAAAAACCAAGTAGCAACCTACTTTACATCCACACTGAGTCCAACCACCCCCCACAAATTGTTAAACAAATTCCGATTGCTATCAACGATAGGTTATCCCAGAATTCTTCTGACGAAAAAATATTCAACTCGGCAAGGGAAGAATATGACAAAGCCCAAAAAGAAATGGGTTCAAAGATTTTAGCTTCAAATACAACCCTAAAGTTGATAACAAAGTAACCTCCAACCATAAAAGAAAAAGAAATATAATCTGGTTTAACCCACCATACAATAAAAACGTTCTCACAAATATAGGCAAAACCTTCTTACAATTAATCGACAAACACTTTCCAAAACCAAATCCGCTTCATAAACTATTTAACTGTAACACAACAAAAGTCAGCTACAGCTGTACAAGCAACATAGCAAAAATTATAAAGAACCACAACAATAAAATTATTTTGATGAACCCAACGGCCACTTTAGCTTGCAATTGTAAACTAAGCAAAATCTGCCCTATGAATGGAAATTGCAGAAAAACAAATGTAATTTATAAGTGCATTGCATCATTCCCAAACACATTCGACAAAACATACATTGGTTCAACAGAGGGCATGTGGAAAACTAGATGGGCGAATCACAAGCAATCCTTCAAAAATAAAAAACTCACAAATGCAACCACGCTTTCTGAATATATATGGGATACACAAAATAAAACAAAAACAACACCCAATTTAAAATGGTCCATCATAAAATATGCCCCCACCTACAACAACATAACCAAAAAACAAGCATTTTTTGGTTATGTTGTTGTACGTGGGGACATATTTTATTGTTATGCTTATTCGAAAAACTAATTATTTTATTGTATAAAAATCCTCAAGAATAATTAAACAAAAAAAACCAACTAATATCTAAATGTCGCCATGAGAACAAGTTTTTGCTGGACAACCACAAACCAAAAGATTAGATTTTTTAACTCATTTTCTTTTGTACAGATTTATTATTTTTACGAGAAAAAAAACATATTTACACCTGATGATTGCATTTAGCATGAAACTAATAGTTGTGAAAAATATGCAGTTATATATATATATATATATATATATATATATATATATATATATATATATATATATATATATATATATATATATATTTCAAGAAAATAACATAAGAACTTTTACAATTTTCATGTAATGTAAGTTAACAAAAACATGATAAAGTTTTGTTTTTTCTAAAATTTAGCTAAAAAACTTAAATTTTTTAACAATATATGCAAAAGAATATTAAGAATATGATGTCAAGCTTTCACCTTTAAAGTTTTGAATAAAGATATTTAGTTGAAACACATTTTATTTTTTAATTTGTGTAATGTAAGTTAAAACTACATACATTTACTAGAGTTCTAATGGTTTTTTATAAAGTTTTTGTTACATACAAAATGAACAATTAAATTTTTATGTAATTCGTATTGGGTTAATATTTTTGTTTTAGTAAATAAATCGTTTGTAAATGCAATTAATTAATGTTTTTGATTCGATAACTTTCATAAATGTTATGAAAAATCACTCAGGAAGAGAGCCACCAGTTTTTTAAAAATTGCCTTTGTTGATTACTTTTGATGAATGAGTTCAATACTTTTGCAATTCTTTTGTAACGTAACTCAAAAAAAAGTTAACACTTAATAATAGATATAAAAATCCACAATAATAATCGCTCGGTTAAATATTTTTTAAATAGGTATAGAATTCTCAACATCTTGTGAAAATTTCCAATACAATCTTCTTTACTGATTCATAAAAATATGACCTAAAAGTTGGAACAATTTTTTTACCTTGTTTTCTGCATAACATAAGTGGCATTTTCAATAATAATTTTGCCCTCTTATGGCCAGACTAAAAACTTTTCCACTTATTTTATTCTTCAGACTAACAGCTTTCATACAATATAGTTAAAAATTTAATTTACAGTTTAAATAAGCAAATATTTGATAAAGTTGTCATGTGTATAACGTAAGTTAAAAATGGAATCGCCCATATATATAACATATTTTTGGTAAAAAGAAATTATTGTGAACGCTAGACTTAGTAGTCTAGCATTTACAAATCTGTTGGATGCAATGTTGATTGAATTTAGATTTCTATTGAAGTCTTTTTGTTTGTATTTTACAAAAAAAAGAACTCACTAGAAATATTACATAGGTTAAAGCTAATTGTGTCATTCATTTTACTTAAAAAATGAATGGCACAAAAATACCTTTAAAAATGTAAGGAGTTAAATACAAAAATTTGAAGTGACATATTTTTTTAGATTGTAAGCTTGTGAACCAAAAAACATTAAAATCTGGTATGATATCAATCATAAGCTGAATTGACCTGGAATGACTCAAAAATAAATTGCCAAACTGATAGATTTTAAATTCAACAAACTTATAAAAGTTATTAAACATGATTATCATAAAATATCAAACCTTCTTCTACATCCAACACAAGGAACAGAGACAGCTAGCAATGCAATTAAATCTTTTTGACCAACCATTAACGCTTTGTTCATCTCTGATTGTGTTAAGCAACTGTGTCTCTAATGTAGAAATAATAATTAAGATATTGGAGAGAATAATTTCAATACTTCAACATCAATTATGAGTTATTCTATATAAAAAAAATGACTGGTGATAAGTGACAAATCTCAGATTTATCTCAAGTTTGGAACAAAGTTGTTTTTTTCTCAATGTTTTAACAACTATGTTTAAATATGACTCAACAAGTTTGATAAATAATGCTTGAATGATTTTTATCATGCTATATTTTTTTTAATTTTATGTAGACACAAGATCTCTCTATTAAGAATTTAAACTAGAATAATTCAAAAGAAATTTGTATATGATGGTTTATTATTAATTGTTTGTTGAATATATTTTTAATACTGATTTTATATGATTGCATTGGTCACATAATTAGATTAGAATTAGCTACCATTTTTTAATCAGTGTGAGCAACTTTACACCATAAACTCATTTAAAAAATTGTTTTTATTTAGGAATACACTAAAAATAAGTTAAAAGTTTAAAGTTTTTCATAAACTCTTAAATTCATTTTTCAATATTTCAAACTCATTAAAATGAACAAAAATTGTCAAGCCTAGTATTCCCAAATGTTGGATAACAATTTTACAGTATAAAATTAGTTAATAAGTTTGATATTTTATTAAGTAAATTAAAATTTATGAAACTTTTGCCATATTTTAGACTTATGAGAATATCTTCAAATCCTATTTAATTTCAGATTATTTAAGTCCTCAACTTTTCATAAGGAGTGCAGTGTCATAGGTTAATTATATAACACTAAACCCTTGTGTTATATAGTTAACTAATAAATAACAAATACCTAAAATTACAAACTTGTGCACCCCTTTATATTTTAGCTGTGGAATTATTTAGTATTAATATGTGATAAACGTATAGCAATTACTTCATCCTTTTCAAAGTGTGAAACAAAAAAAAAAAAAAAAAAAAAAAAAAAACAGATTTTAGTAAATAGTGACCATTAACTGGAAAACTTACTTATGTTAAATGTGCCAAATATAAAGTAAATCTGAGACTCACTATAATCAATAATTATTCTATATACATATAAAAATAAACAAACTCATGCCCTAATTACTGTTAAAGTTTACTTTAAAAAAGTGTGCTACATCAGCTGCACTGACATACTCAGCAGAAATAATAGTTTCAGGAATTTCCATAACCATCTAAATAAAAAAGAAACAGATTATATAACTTAAACAGCTTTTTAATAAATATTTTTATAAACCATCTACTATTTTGTTATTATTTTGCATCTGTGGTACAGTTTTTATATTGCATTTAAATAGCATCAATTTTAGAGGAAATTAAATTTTAAAAATCTTTAACACTAACTACCCCATATACCCTAAAGAATACCCTGTATTCTTCAAAACCAGTTAAAATGATGGACCTTGTGGGTTCTGGAACTTAACATCAGCAAAATTTTATATACCCTATATAAACTTCTGAAGTGACAGCAAGAGATTGAAACGTATCATGTTGCTTTTTAAGATCGTGTACTCTAAAGTTTTTTTACTCTGAAAAAACAGAAATGTATAGAACTATATTTTCAAAAGTATACCACATTTTTTCAAGATATGACTAAAAAAAAAATTTTGGTTGACAAACTTTACTTTTTGCTACATCCCTGTTATCCCCAAGGTCAATAAACTAGTGAAAATTCCGAGCATCAGGTAGAGTTGCTACACCTTTGTACCTTTCTCTTTTTTTTCCCTATAGCAGCTGCAGGTTTGATCCTGATATTATACAAATAATATTAACAACTTTGATTTTCTCAATACAAAACTCATACATGGCTTCTGTGTTATATTTGGCTTTAATATGACCATTTTAGACAATCTTAGACTTTCAACTTTTTTTATAGTACCACCAATGCCATGGTATGGTAATATTTTATAGAATGCGGCAAAAAAAGTTTCAATCAGCTCTAAAGAAAATTTCACTCTTTAACAAGCATAGATTATAGAAACATTAAAAATTTATTTACTTTCCTGCACAACCATCAGTAAAAAAATATATTTCTAAACAGATTAGGTAATTTTTCTTTTAATGTGGCTTCATAATGTATCACTTATAGATGTAAAAAATAATCCTGGGTGTTCAAGGGATTAGAGTAATCTGAATTTCAAAAATGGACTAAAAAAGCGCAGTTTTCTGTAGTTACCAACAACAACAACAATAATAATACATAATTGATCCAAATATTAGTTAAATAAAGTATTGTGAAAGGAAGTGGGCAATAAAAGTATAAGTCAGTAGTTTTTCTTAGCAAGATATTATAAGTTAAATCAGGATTGATAGATTTAAAGCAAATGGCTGAAACCATTAAAAAATTTTAAATTTAAACCAAATTATGAATAAATTTTAAAAAGAGAAGTCAAATAAAAAACAATGTTTGCAAATAAAACTATATCTTTAATGATCTGCTACATCAACCCGACATTTAGTTTGGTTTTAAAATGATTATTTTTGGTTTTATTTTCTCTCTAGATTGAGGGTCAGCATCATCATCATGTAAATGTTTAATTTAAATATAATTATTTAAAAGAATAAAAATATTTTTTTCTTCAACTAAAAAATATCTTATCTTTGGAATTATAATTAACATTGATAAATTGTTACATACGCTAGCTACTGGTTAAGAAACTTTTTTTACCAGGCTCATATATTTAATGGAGAGAAACAACTGTTGATGGCATATTGAGTTGATGGAGGTTGAATAGGCAGCAAATCGAATCCTTCTCTATACATTTAAAATAATGATATATTGACAAATATTAATGAATTAAAATTAAAATATTGTTAGACAAATTTTGATAAATTCAAATAGAATAGTATTTAAGAACAAATGGTATTAAAAACATGTGTATAATACAAGTTATACAATTACTAAAAGAAATAATTTTTCTTAATTCATAATATCCACAAAACAATACATCAAATTATTATGAAAATACTTATTACGGATATTCAAATAGAGATCAAAATACTGCCCCATCTAATTATCATAAAAAGGCGGAGAAGATTGAACAAGTGTGAATATAGCTGACAATACTAAGCCATTGTATGCTAATATTGAAAAGATTCCTTATGCAATACATGTTACAATTGTTTATTCACAAAAAAAACAGCAAAAAAAAGTTTATTCACAAAAAAATAGCAAGCATGACCAGCAATGTGATACCATTACTGACAAAGTATTGACCAATAATGGTATCCCATTATCAGTCAATACTATGTCAGAAATTGTTTAAAACCTGTTATACTTGAAATAATTCATAAAAAAGGTCATAACAGGGATTCAAAATTTATTATTTAGCAATTCAAAAAATATTTAAATTGACAACATGGTAACACTTCATTCCAACTTAAAAGTGTTAGTAAATCCACTGTTAAACACTGAAAGTTATTTGGCCATGACAAAAGGAAGTTAATTTACTCAAGTAAAATACATATTGTTTGTATTTAAATAAAAATTTAACTAAATATGGCTTTTTTTTTAAAATATGGAATTTAATCAAAAAAATATGGTCTTTTTAGATTTAATTAAAAAAACATGGGTTTAAGTATTTTTCAAAAAAAAAAATCTTTTTTTTCCAACCTAGAGTTTAATTGAAGTCAGAACACCAGCTATTGAGAAATTGGATCTGTATTGTGCAATTGTTGTGGAATGGTTCTTTACCAGAACAATCGATTACTACTGTAAATTCTTAAAAAGTCAAAAAGCAATCTTAAAAGCAAACATTTTATGTTTTTGTTTAATTGTTAATATATCCAATTTGCTATTGTGAATTTAATAATTTTCAATATGATTAATCTAAAAATGACAACTAGTGTACTACTTTTTAAAAATACTTTTTATAAACTACATGATTTCCAAAATTTTAAAAACAAATATGCTTCAATACCACATTAGATAAAATTTTATACAAAAATTGTTGCATGAAAATAAAATTTATGCTTTTCATTTGTTAACAAAAATAGTTGCTTTACCTAATTATGTAGGACTTCCGAAAATAAAACATAATTACTTTCTTTTAAAGTCAGTAAACAAAAATTAATACTTAATCAGGACTCTAAAAGTTTTTTTCAGCTATTTTTTAAAAAATGTGGTAAAGTTTTGAAAATATAGCTCTCTCTATCTGCTGTATTTGCTTCATTTCATACTTTTGCCATTTCATGCTTCATTTCATTTTTTGTTATTTCTCATTTTATTAAAAAAATGTTCAATAACTAGGTTAATATTAAAACCTGTGACTCAAAATTTGTAAAAGTTGGGTGCTTTAATGCGGAAATACACTTATGCTGATAACTTTTCTAATTTATTTTTCACTTTTATAAAGATTTCTCTTTCTTAGGGTGTATAAACAACATTAAATAGGATTGACACACAATAACATCGATGTAAAATTAAAAAATGAAAAAATTATGTTAAAAAACTAAGAAGGTTGGTTATAGAACCTGATATATGAACTTTTTATCTATGAAGTCAGTCTATTTTAGAAAATGGGATGATTTGCAAACATCAGAAGAAAATCTTGAATATAATCAAGAACAATTTTTCCTCTTTTTAAACCTAATAAATAAACAATAAAAGTAATTTGACTGCAAAAAGGTTTGCTAACGAAATGCCAAGTCTTCAAAGCTCATTTTGAAAATAAATTAGCAATCATAATTATTTCTTTTTATTTGGTTTTTAACAGGTGAAAAAAAAAACCTTGAAAAAAACTTTTCAAAGTAATTCAAGTATTCATTAACTTGAAAAATTTAATTCTGATAAGGTAAGAACCTAAGATAATACATTTTTTTAGTATCATGTCTTTAAGTGTATTATATCACAAATACATTTTAAATAATGTAGTGAGATTTATTATACACTGATTGATTTATAGTTCAAATAGATAGATAGAAGAATTAATATATATTTAATTATTAAATATATATTAATTTTAATATATATTAATTTTAATATATTAAATTTTAATATTGAAACATATACTTCATATAGAATGGAAAATAATTATATGTCAGCTAGTTAAAATCATGCCAAAATTTTAAAAACGACTATTCCTTTATAATGACGTGTAAGTTTCTGATAACTTATAAAATACTCTTAATTTTTTCAATGGTTCATAAGAATTTTAAAATAATTATTACACTTCGATGCTGTTGTAATATTATTAATTACTCGTTTAAAACTAGGCACTCAATATTTTTGAACATTTCGTTTTAAAACTTTTAGTTAATAATAATTTAATAAGAAATTAGGGTTTTTTCTACCCATCCCAATGTCTTCATTTTCTTTTGTTTATTTTTTTTTTCTGATAATAATATTTATTATGTGTTTAGAATTATATCTATGCTTGCTAACCGTCAAAGACTCTTCTATCATTAGTGGAATTTGTCTGCGTTCAAATCGGTATTCATCGTCTCTACATACAGCAATTAACTTAGCCATTTGCAACAAATGTAAATTTCAGCAATATTTCTATTGTGTATATATATTTTTAAGTACTTATTGTGATTAATTCCCAGATTCACGCTAAAGCTTCCATATCTAAATTTCGCCTCTACTTGGTGTAAGAGAAACATTACAATGCACGTCGGGAACGTAGTTTTGAGCTCTGATTTTACAAATCTTAGTAGTTTTGGGGCAACGTCGAAACGTTAAACGTTGTTGATCAATAGTAATTTTTGCCTCCTATTTCGTTAAATACGATTTCGGTAATTTTTTTAAAGTAGTTACTTAATGACTATTACTCCAAAGTAACAAATTTAATTAAAACTATATAGGTTATGTGTATCGAAAACGGTTTCAATACCTTTTTTTTTATTTGGTTGCTGACAATTTTTTATTTAGAAATTTTAAAAAAGTAGAATGTAATTGCCTAAAAATTAGTATATTGGCTATAAAAAAACACGTTTATCAATAAACTAATATACATAATTAGTAAGATTGCTTCATGTTTAAAAAATGAGATTTTGAGATTTTCGAAGTTGCGCAAATGACGTGTATTTAAAATATGTATATATAAAAAGATAATGACAATAAAAAAATCATCGTCGCAAATAAGCTAGAAGAACATAATTTTTTTTTAAGCGTGAAATTTTTAAAAACAAAGAGTAAAAAACATGTTTTTAATTTCGTGCTCTCAACTTAATAACAAACGAAACAAAAGATTTTGAAACGCTGCGTTTCAATATCTTTGCAACCATTAACAAAGCTTTAATAAATCGTTTTTACGACGCTGACGCCTACACTTTTCTTAAAAATAATCTTGATTCGCAATATTTCGAAACATAAACTTTTAAAACTGAACTTGCAATTTTAAAAAATATTTTTGCTAAAATATAAAATACTAAAAGTCGAATGAAAAATTTTGACAAAAACTAAAAGATGTAATTACTTATTTATAGCATGATTTGCTTTATAAAAAATTGGTGTTCTGATAAATCATCTCAAACACCTTCAAATTTTCGAGTTGCAAACTATAGTTTGCAACTCGAAATATATAGTTTACGTCCGTAAGGCGTCCGATGGAAGTCCTTTGGACGACGATTGTCGACTGGGATGTTGCAATCCCTTCTCCCCTTTTGAAAGTCCTTCATTTTAAAGATATTAGTTTATAGTACCATAAACTAATATCTTTAAAATGAAGGACTTTCAAAAGGGGAGAAGGGATTGCAACATCCCAGTGGACATTCGCCGTCCGGGGGACTTCCGTCGGACGCATTACGGACGTCTAGACATCCATGAGACGTCCTGCGGATATCCTCCAGACGACGCGTGCCTACTGTGATACACTTGAAACTATAAAGCGAAGCCAGAAAACATCCGTTAATTGAGATAACAAATAAAAAATCCAATAAAATTTTAGTTTTTGCCGGTTATATACCATCCGAAGTTGAAAATACCAGTTTTTCAAGTTACTAAATAATGATAAAAACTTTTTCAAAATACTAATATAAAGAATAAATATTTTTCATAATTTAATAATTCAAACAAACAAAAACTTTTTTCTCTATTTTTGGACCTAAATATTTACTATTATCTTTATTTATTATATTTATTATGTTTATTATATTTATGTCTATTTTGGACCTAAACATTAACCTTCGGATTTATGAATTATGGCCACATGTAAATGTGGCCATCACCTGGTGGTGATGGCCACATTTACATGTGGTGTTGGCCTCTCTCAGTTGTATTGTGATAAAGTTTGATTTCAACTTTGGCCAGATAAACGACATTGGTAAGGAAGGAGGCGTGATCTTCCTGGTTAATTGCTATTATTTTTGTAATATGACCGTTAGATCTTCTTGGAGTACCTTAATAACTATATAATAAAGTGTTACAAGAAGAAATATACACACACACAAACACACACACATGTATACAGATATAGATGTGTATATATATATACACATGTATACAGATATAGATGTGTATATATATATATATATATATATATATATATATATATATATATATATATATATATATATATATATATATATATATATATATATATATTTATATATATCATGGCCTACTATAATTACACGGCCGGATATCTTGCTTTTCGGAGCGAAAAATTAGAAGGGTAACTTTTAGACATTCTTAAGCGTCTTTTAAAATTGTTTATTTAAATATTCATAATATGATTAATACATGTGCTATAGTTTATTGTAAAACTGGATATAAAAAGAGAGAGAATCAAATTGATGTCATTCCTGAAAAGCACCCACTTTTTGGATTTCAGGAAAATAATCCTGACTTATTTAAACATTTGTCAATCAAAAGTTATGGAAGCCCAGTTAAGAATTCGGCTATTTGTTCTAAACATTTTGAAGAAAAATATTTAAAAATTGGCAAAAGACTAACATTAGTTTGGGATTTAAATCCCGTTCCAACTATTTATTGCTTAACTGAAAAAATGCCACCATCAGTATATCAATTTACTGAATTCTAAACGTATATTTTCATTTTTATCAGTTTCATGATGTTATTGATGTACATGCTGGTGAAATATCGTGGAAGTTACTTCATGATGTATATGATAAAGACCAATTACTTCAGTCAAATTTAAAAAAAGGTTTCAAATTATTTTATAAATCACTTCATCCAGGAGATAATAAACAAAGTGTACCACTTGCTCTTGCAATATTTGATCCTTCAACTTTTGCATCTATTGAAAGTTATTTTTCAGATAGGACTGATGCCTCAGACTTTTTAAAGTTGATAAATATATGGTGGACAATAAGTAACAGAAAGCAAATATATAACAACAATTTTTGTATTGGAAATGGAGCTGTTATGGGTGACATGAAACCTTTATTTTTGAGGAAACTAGCGAAATGGATTGAGAATTGGCAATTATCTCAAGTTTCAAACTCTCAAAAGTTTATATTAAGTAAATAAACATCAGAAGCGTGAAGGACCACTTTAAGATGCACAGCTTCACTTATTGATGATTTAATTCAAGAAGGGTATCATTATTTTTTAGTATCACTCTTGCAAACTGATCCATTAGAACTAAGTTTTTCAAAGTATCGTCAAATGAGTGGTGGCAGATTTTTAATTGGTTTGCGTGAGCTTGAGACATCTGAGTGCATATTAGCTTTGAAAACTTTATTTAAAGAGTCAGTCAATATCTGGAAGGAAGATGTTAGAAAAGAGAGTTGTAATATATCTTTACTTAAAATACTTAATGATAAATTGCAAGAAATTTTACCAGATAAGAACGCAGTTTAGATTCAGAGAGCTTTGAAGTTGCTACAGTTATTTCTGGTTATGTTGTTAAAAAGTTTAACAAAAAGATCAAATGTGGTGTTTGCAAAACTTTTCTATTAGCTGAATCTGGTGAGCTGCAATGTCAATATTTAGAAAAACTTTCTCGTGGTGGATTGATTTTACCAGCTATTGATCTTACACATTATGTTGCCAAAGCATTTGCAATATTAGATACTGGGTACTTAAATTAAATGATTGTGCTTCTTCATTCTTATGCGATGAACATCAAATTATTGGTGTAAAATTTGTAAATCGTGTTGTTGTAAATATTTATTTTAACAATGAACAGAAACACGTTTTTGATGAAATTCGAAAGAACAGTGTATAGGATTTTAAATGCAGACAAAGAAAAAGATTAAAGCTGAATTAGTTAAGTATTAACTTAACTAATTGATTATTAAATCTATTAAGCTGAGCTGAATTGAAGTAGCTAATGCTAAATTATTTTTTTAAATCTCAATAATGTAAACAAGATTTTATATATCTTGTTAAGATTATTGAGATTTTATTATGAGAAATATGTGTGTGTGTGTGTGTGTGTGTGTGTGTGTGTGTGTGTGTGTGTGTGTGTGTGTGTGAGTGTGTGTGCGTGTGAAAAATTCGTATATATACATACATATATATATATATATATATATATATATATATATATATATATATACAATATGAGGTTTTTCTTTAAATTAATAAAGTCATTACAAATTTAAATATTTTATTATTAATAAAATGATTACAATTTTATATTGATGAACAAAGTACAATATAATATTTTCTTATTCTTAAGTTTTTAGAAACTATTATCATGCAAAGGAAAATGTCTAATTTTTGAGACTTAAGTTATATTTGTCCAACAAATTTTATATTATATACACACTTCTGTAAACAATATATATATATATATATATATATATATATATATATATATATATATATATATATATATATATATATATATACAGTGGCGGCGCCAGCATTTTTTGGTCTTTGAGTAAACAAACTTCTTGACATGGAGCAAACTCCGAACATTTATATATTTATACTTGTAACAAATAAGGATGCTTTGCAAAAAATGATTGGAGTTTGGGAACAAAAGAAACCCAACAATTTGGCCGACACTGCCCCAAACGTGAAAGCAACAAGTTGACAAAATAGTTTTTATACTATTTTCAACTAGACTTATATTCATCCATAAACTTTAAATTTCTTAGTATTATCTTTCAGCGTTCAAAAATTATGCCATACAAAATTTGCCACCCCTATAAATTAAGGGGGGTTTAAACTTTATACAGTCATAATTTTTAAACACTAAAATATTTTACTATGAAATTTAAAATTTATCGATAAATGTAAGTCTAGTGGAAAATAGTACAAAAACTAATTTTCTCGCGCTGGCTGTAATGCCAGTTATATTGGAGAAACATTCAGACATTTGACAACTAGGATAAATGAACACTTTAAAAAATGTTTAAAAAATCCCACGTATATAAACGTATAAATCATCAATTAATTGTGAAAAATTGTCTTATTATAATTATTTTAGGATTTAGGATACTGCTAAAACAAAACAAGAAATTTAAGGTAAAAGAAGCGCTTCACATTAAATGTTAACATCCCCCACAAATAAACTTCGCATTCTATGATGGGAAGTTTACTAGTTAATATTTAATATATAATAATAATATAATTTAGTTGACTAATTAACTGTTAATTAGTTTAATTTTTTTAATTAGTTAAATTAGCTGTGTTTTATATTATTATATATTAAATAAATTGTCAAGTATAACAAGGAATATGGTTGAAACAACTAT